ACCAGAAGGAAACAACTGGAATCAACGAGTGCATCCAAAAGCATTCTATGTGGGTAAGCGACAACGAAACCCACCTCCACACCACACTGAGTGTGTCCAAGAACACGACAGTCTCCCCTCAGAGGACATGGAGCGACTACTGAGTCGACTGCAAGTGTTCTTCAAAGACAAGCTGAACACAGAAGACCAGTGATCACCTTGCACACCTTCCTGAGACGTCCACCTGTTCTACAACAACACAGAACAAAGTGGCCTCTCACAGTCAACCACTGACAAACACCCAGAGGTACCAGAAAACACCATCCTGGTTACCCATCACACCACAAGCTCCAAACTCAAGAACCATCTGTGTGCTGCCGCAACACCAGTAAGCACAGAAGTCAGACTGTCTGTCACAACCAGAAGGCATCACAAGTGGAATGCAACAAGGAGACCATGTTTTGCACTACAGCTTCACGCATCCGTGCCAAACCACCTCCCAATGTCTGCCAGAGAACTTCCTGCCTTACTGGACTGACCCCCCATCAGATCACAGAAGATCCCTTTCCAAGGCAAAGATGCGACAAGCTCATCAAAGCTAAGCCATCAAGCAAAGGGGGGAGCAAAACAGACTGAGACAGATCTGACATACATACAGCATACATACAGTACATACACTACACTACACTGTACTGACATACACAAGTTAAACACATCTACCATGAAAACATTCAACAAACATGTTTTTCATTGTATTAGCTAACCTTTCCACCACAGGAAACATATAGCGATACACCCAACAAGTATAACACCTCTCATCACATGTTGACACCTGTCACTGCACAACAGTACCCATACTGGAGTCACTCAACTGCTTTGTTTTGTTTTACCTCTTCCTTCCCTTCTTCTCTTATTAGGTAAAATCCCTTTTACCCCATAAGGGTCAAGGTTACAATATAAGGATTGACGCACCACGCCTGACGTTTGCAAGTCACCTTAGAACGAATGTTAGCCAGAGAACTCCCTGCATCATTCGAATCAAAATTTGGAAGGTAAATTGGTCTAAACCTAGAACAATTTAGAAGTGGATAAAACAAACAAATCAAATTTAGTCACAAAGTTGATCAATCACCGTTTAACACAAACTAGAATAACGGTCCTAAAATTGAACTAAACTTTTACCACATAATTGACTATATTGAGAGAGTGAACTCGTTAGGCCTAGATAACCTAATGCCCTGCACCAGTAAAGTGACCAGTCATGGAGGAGTTGCTTTGTTGTTCGCTGTGTGTGTTTGCTTCTACTTCTTCTGTTTCTCCAGCGTTCAATGATGTCTTCTTCTCAACCCATCATCGATCGAGGGGGGGATATGTAGAGAATCGAGGCGAATCAAACACAACTTAATCAAATTAATCTCTCATGGGATTAATTCACATGGCTTCAACACTCCAAGTTCTGGAGCCCACATTCCAGAGTCACGGAACGACTCCGTGCTGTCTGCAGATAAGGACTTTTATTGCCCCACAGGCCCAAGAGAGGGGCACTAAACAGGACGAACGTGTCAATATGGTAATGTTACTAAGACAAATCTGCTCCAAAATGGTGGAACGAGATGCTCACATCAAAGACCCCTCTGATGCCCTGACAGAGATGTTCCACAGAACACCTTTGCCTCGTCCCCCTTCGAGTTGAACTCTCAGTAACCTTACAATTGAGATCGGAGATCTCACACATAAAATCATATAAACTCACCACAGAACAATTCTTGAACTTTTAATCAAACCTCACAAGTCTCATTGCTTTCTGCAATTCATGTGTTGTTTGTTAATGCTTAGATCACATATGAATCATGTAATTGTTGTTAACTATTAACTCTTGTAATTGTTATACAACCATTAGAAGTGTGAATGCCTCATTTACTCTTAAACGAATCGTATTCTCCTAATTCAAAAGATGGCTTGATTGAAATCTGCGTAAAAGGTTTTGTTTTATTATTATAATTATCATAAGGTTAAAACGATGGTCTTTTGTCTCTGCTAAGTGCTGGAGACCAGCTCGCAGACCATGCATAAATTATGATAAAGCAAGAAGTAGATCCGCCTCCAATTGGCCAGAAGCTTCTTGGAGGTTGGACTAGAGTTTAAGTTAAAGATCCGAACAAAGGACCTCATGATGAGATTTTTGTAGATTGCAGAAGATTTCAGATGATTTTTGTTTAGATTTTTGTTCAGTTCGTTCAGTTCTGTAACTGTTAAGTCCGTGCCTCTCTCTAAAACCAGCAAGAGAGTGTTCTGTTCGTGCTTATCTCTGAAACAAAGAACATGTCCACATGCTTCTACATCGACTAGACCAAATTCGACCAGCAGACGAATAACCCATCAAGATCAGGGTTACAATTCAGCTCAGTCAAGCCATCCGACTCGCCTTGCTTTCATTTCTTTCCTTTATTTCCTTTTTCGTAAAAGTCTCGTTTCAAAGTTAAGTTTGCAACGCGCTTCGAATTGGAAAAGACTCTCATTCGCTTGCTAATCACACGTGACCAGCGGCGAAACTTCCATCCCTGCACTTCAAAGACAACAAACCACGCAACGGACCCGGCCGGGAAACCCCCCTTCGACGCGACGCAGACAAAGGGAATTCCCTCAGCCACTACAAAGCGCAAGTACTCCAAGCTCTAACTGAACTGGTGCTTTAATGTTAATTGAATAACCTCTCTAAGAAATGAAGGTTCAAATTAATGCTTGGTGGTCCTTTCAGGTTATGTCTTACGTGCATATAGAAAGTTGAAACTTTCCCTCACTCTTTCCAACTCACTCTTTCCCTTTCGCGACTGTATGAATGTGTGTGTGCGTGTGCGTGATTATGTTTAGACCTTAGTTTTGTGCTTAGAATAGCTAATAAAGTCTTGTCCATATATTTGAAAAGATAAATCTTCTTGTGTCGTGTTTGCACATTTAATGTCTTGTACTGTTCGATTTAAAGTTACCTTGCTAAGACATAGTGTTTCACTATAGATTTGGTTATAATTACGGCCCGTTCAAATGAACTCTAAGCGAGTCATTTGCTCGGTTCAGTGATTCGGTTCCATAGATTCATTGCAAATCAATGAATCATTTCCCTTTGAGCTAAATTGGCCTTCGGCCCCCTTTAATACATTTTATGTATATTATTATATGTTGCATTTGCTACATATATTTCCGATTATTTTTACATTTATTAATTTAGCTGATGCTTTTATCCAAAGCGACTTACAATTGCTATTTATGTCATAGGTCGCATGCCTCTGGAGCAACTAGGGGTTAAGTGTCTTGCTCAGGGACACATTGGTGTCTCACAGTGGATTCGAACCCGGGTCTCTCTCACACCAAAGGCATGTGTCTTATGCACTGCGCCATCACCACCCCCTCACGGTTATCTGCGAGTGACGCTTAGTGACAATCCGCGAGTGACTAAGATGGCGATGGCCGGCTCCACCCACTTTGGGCTTCAAAAACGCTCTTCAGAAACACTATGGTTGACGTCAAAAACTTCAGATTTGAAATTAACCCTGACCACACTTGTGTCTTCAATTTGTTTCTAAATTGCTACACTACAGCCACATCATATTTGTATACATTCAAAATACATTTTGTTAATATATTTTTGTTTTGTTTTAATGTTTGAGATTATTACCTAAAAACAGTCTGAGTAATCCTGAACTGTCCTAAACTGTAAACTCTCATGCGTTGACTTTCATATATATACATACATATATACATCCTATATATATATATATATATATATATGTTGGTTGTGTATATTCACAATAACTAATGAGCTTTTATTTTGGATATATCATTTATGCCCCACTTGCCAAAATGGAGGGCTAAAAATATTCCAGACTATTACGTTATTCGTAGTGCTTCACTGAAGTGGGCGGAGCTCTTTTGGTGTAGTTTGCTTATCATGATTCTCTGATTAGTGGAGATTTCTCTGCAGAATCATGGGTTGGGCTTGGAAAACATTAGAATCACTAGGCTTGGAAAACCCTGACGAACTTCGGAACTTCTGGCCAAGAGCCTATTCCAGCCCATTTCCAATTTTTCCAAATCGAGGCACCAATCAAAACGTTCAGGCGGGCTTTACACGATCGCTCTGATTGGTTTTAGGCATAGACTGTAAAAGAAATGGACAGAGCGACCCCATTGATTTCAACGGAGAAAATTGAAGCCCGTTAAAAGCTAATCGCCAGACATACTGCACAACCTCAAACTGAGCCTGTCACGTGAGCAACCTGTGTGTCTTCTAGTAGCTGTGCCGAGTTAAATCGGAATAATTCCCTTCCGAATATCACAGAGACGGAGAGAGTGAGTATTAGCTGTCCATGAGCTAGCAGCAAGATCAACTTTATGACTCTCTAAGGGCTTCTCCCTTGACTTTATGCCTCCATGTACCCCCGATTGCCTGCGAGTTTCTCCTCCTGTCTATACGGTAATTTCTCTACTGTGCGACGAAGAGTCGATTCGTTATGACGCAATCGTTAGCTTCTACGGGGCCATAAAGTAAGATACAAGGTAATGGAGCCTTTTATACATTGGTGTGTTTCTTGGAATGCTAACAGCAGGTGAAGTTCTGCTACAATGGCGGCTCCTGCGAGGCTACAATTTCCAGCTAATGGATTACCCCCTTGGTTTTAGGTCTATCCAATTGACGCCTGTTGGTGATGCCCCTTTGGGAATGGGCTGTGAATGAAGCTTCCCCAGACCCACAGTTTCGACTGAGAAGGGTCTGTGTCCACCACGACCACCAGGCTAGGGTAATGTAGTTTTTCACCACGAATTATGGTCCTAAATGTGATTTTTCTGTTATCCGGGAGTGACGTGCTGCCAAGATGGCGACGGCCGGCTCCGTCCACTTTGGGCTTCAAAACTTCTGCTCTTCAGAACCTCGTCACGGACACTACACACATATTTTTTTACAGGGTTTTTTATGGGTTTAAGGCTGAAGCCGCACATCATCCGATCCTCTGAGCTTCACTCACTTGACCAGGAACTTGACCGGGAGGAACCATGGGAATCCGCAGTAGGGCATCTTGTCCTGGCATTGTGTGCGGATGCTGTCGTTGATCTCTGGGATATGAGGAGTGATGTGCTGCATCCCGGTGTAATCCAGACTGTTGACCCATAATCCCGAGTCAGAGCTCTGCAGAGATCCGTCCAGTGCGTGGAACCTGCGTGTGGTGTGCTGAAAACACACAAACAAACAGAACCAGTGTTGGGGAAAAATGTAAAGTAATTACATTACAATTATATTTTTAGGCAAATGTAAATACCTAATTCTCAGGCTCAAAAAAAAAATGCAGATTCACTTGTGTACAGTAGAGTACCGTACAGTAAAGTACAGTATAGTAGAGTACAATATAGTACCGTAGAGTACCGTACAGTAAAGTACAGCGAAGAAGAGTAGAGTAAAGTACAGCGGAGTACAGTAGAGAACAGCACAGTAGAGTACAGTAGAGTGCAGTAAAGTAGAGTACAGTGAAGTATAGTAGAGTACAATATAGTGCAGTATATTACAGTAGAGTACTGTAAAGTACAGTATAGTACAGTAAAGTAGAGTGAAGTACAGTAGAGAAAAGTAGAGTACAGTATAGTACAGTAAAATAGAATAGAGTACAATACAATAGAGTATAGTATAGTACAGTAAAGTAGAGTATAACACAGAATAGTAAAGTACAGTAAAATAGAATAGAGTACAATACAATAGAGTATAGTACAGTATAGTAAAGTAGAGTGAAGTACAGTAGAGAAGAGGTAGAGTATAGTACAGTAAAGTAGAGTATAACACAGAATAGTAAAGTACAGTAGAGTACAGTAAAGTAGAGTGGAGTACAGTAGAGAAGAGTAGAGTACAATATAGTACCGTAGAGTACAGTACAGTGGCGTACAGTAAAATACAGCGAAGAAGAGTAGAGTACAGAAAAGTAAAATTGATTACAGAACAAGAAAACCAAGTACAGTAGAGTAGAGTGCAGTAAAGTTGAGTACAGTAGAGTACAGTAAAGTAGAGTAGAATACAGTAAAGTAGAGCAGAGTAGAGTACAGTAAAACAGAGTACAGTACAGGGCACTGCTCAAGGGCTTAAAAAAAAAAAAAAAAAAAAAACTATAGTCATTTTTGCTTATCGGTTTAATTCAAGCGGGATTACGTAACTCAAGTTATCTGTAATGAGTTTCCCCTCATCAAGCTAAAATAAAATGAATATATATACACACACACACATATATACATACATACATACATGCATGCATGCATATATAAAACTTTAACTTCTCAGGTAATGTTTATTTTATTTCAAGTCAGGACAATATTTCATGGTTTGAGTTTCAGTAAACTCTAATAACGGATCAGAGATGACGATACCTGCACAAAGACTCGTTTGGGTCGAGGACTGGATGGGTCACCAGAGTATGGGAAGAACAGACCACAGCAGACCAGAACAAACATCAGCGTGAACACTGACCCCAGACCAGCCAGCATCCGCTTCGTGCTGTGTGACAGATAGATGAAATGCATCTGGAGAGAGAAAGAGAGTTTTAGATACACTTTATTTTTTACACATTTTTTACATTCCTAATTTAAACATCATATCCCAAAAACATAGAAAGGCAATTGAAATTAAAAAACTTTGAAAAACTCAAGACCAATTGATCATCATGCACACACAGAGCCTCATTATAGAGAGAGAGAGAGACAGGTGTAAGGACACATATGGTGGAATTAATCTCGGTTTGTTTTATGTTGAATTAAGAATTTTAATTGGAATTAGAATGTTTAAATGTACATATTTGAATTTGACTGTTTGAATGTTTGATTTAGAATGGTTCATTTTGCATGTTTGAATTTGATTTTTTGAATTTGAATGTTTGCATTTAAATGTTTCAATTTAACGTCTTGAATGTTTGAATTTGAATGTTTGAATTGAAATGTTTGAATTGTTTTGCTTGAATGTTTGAATTTGAATGTTTGAATTGAAATGTTTGAATTGTTTTGCTTGAATGTTTGAATTTAAATGGTTGAATATTTGAATTGAAATGTTTGAATTTTATTGCTTGAATGTTTGAATTTAAAGGCTTGAATGCTTGAATTTGACTGTTTGATTATAAATCTTTCAATTTGAATTTACTATGTTACAGTTAGTCTGTTTTACTCACAAAATAGGAAGACAGAATCACGGTTGCCAGGGTAACAATTGACGCCAGGATGACATCCGGTGGTATTTCGGTTCCGCTGCGGCCCAGGATTGGTGTGAAGATCTCAAAAACCACCCAGATGAGGAACATGATGTGGACGTAAGGTACAGTGAGACCCACGAGGTACAGGACAGAGTACTGCAGAGATGCTCCTGCACGCACACACACACACACACACACACACATACTACTAATCAGCACAACAGCCATGTGTCAACCTCATTTAAACATCAGAGCCATGATTTCTGCCCATTGACCCCATCCTGAGCTAAAACTACTGCTGACCAGAGACCTGAAACTCCCTAAAGGTATGGCTAAATAAAAGTCAAATATAGGGTTGCAATTTAAATACTATTATATATTTGCATACAGGCATTATATATTTAAATATATATATATATCTTTTTTAATACAGAATTAAGCTTTTATTTTGACATTGTACTTACGCCAAAGCAAATTACTGAAATATTACATAAAAAATATTTACTCTGTATAATAGTGATAGCAAATATTTTTTTCTAAACACTATTCATTTACAGATCTGAAGGAATGTTTTAAAATGTTGTATTGTATAACACTTAAAATATCACAAAAATATCATAATATATGATTAATACCTTAAGGAACCATGACAGCTGTAAAACAAAATGCCTGAAATAAATACACCAAATAAGCTTCATCTCAATGGTATAATGTGAAGAATCATGTGTGTGGTGTGACCTCTGACCTCTGGCTCTGAAGTGTTTTCTGAGCATCAGTTTGCTGGCGAGTGGAAACACCACCATCATCATGGGAACGTACGCTGAACACAACCCTCGCTGAGTGAGGAAGAGCAGCGCACAACACCACAACACCAGACTCACGTCGAAGAACAGCTCAGACAGATACACACGACTCGAGCTCTGAACACACACAGAGACACAGAGAGAGAGAGAGAGAGAGAGAGAGAGAGAGACAGACAGACAAACACAGAGAGAGACAGACACACATCACAGAGAAACACAAGCACAAAAAGCGAGAGAGAGAATATATCCAGTCAAAACCAGTCAAATATCCACTGATCTGAGAACTTGAGTTCTGTTCATATTTATTACCAAAAGTATGTTCCATACTAACCTTTTTTTAATGAATATTTTACTGAATTAAAAAAAAAGTCTCTGAGAAGTTGAAATCACAATAATCCATTAAAATATAACTCTGGCATACTGAAGGAGCGTGAATAATGAGCCACAGATGAGTGAAAGTAACAAAGATGAAGATCATTTAAGATTGTTACAAACTCATTTTAAAATGTATGAATATTCCACTGTCTCTTGATTATAGGTGTTGTGTGTAACTCTAATAAAGCATAAAAATAGGCATGGGCGGTATCCAAATTTTCATACCGTCAAACCTCCTCTCTATTTTACCGCGGTATACGGTATTATCGCGTGACTAATTAAAAATTACGAGATAAGGCTCAGATTGGCATCACACATGATGACACGTTCAACCAGAGATTGTCGGTTCCAATAATGCATCTAAAAGCTGTCAATCAACTATTAGAAAACAGGAGATGCACATTGTCTCACACCAGAGAATGAGCAGAGTGGTGATATTTCCTCTAGAGAGGGGAGCGCATTTATGGAGATCACGCGCCACGAGCTCTGTCCACTCTGCCGAGTGGAGCCGAGATAAAATTATTTATTAATAAACTAGTGTTTTCTATGTCAGTTGCTGCAAAGATAAAGATTGCATTGACGATGCAAACTGGCATCTTCACGGTAGTGAACACGAATAAAGAGTAGCCTAATGCACACTTCATATGAATAAGCCTATAGCAGAGAGCAGCCCATTTCTTTTAGCTTGTAATTGTTTTGTTTAAAAGTATAGACATTTCAAGCTTACTATATATATATATATATATATACACTTCTCAGATCATTAAGACGTGTATCTTATATGCCGAGTTTCAGTTCATGTATGAATCGCGCTCCAGTCTCGCGTCGGCGCGTGTCCTGATTACTATCTTTGCTTTTTATTTATTAATCCAGGCAATTCGTTGATGAAAAAAATAAATAAATGAAGATGCAATTTATTCAAAACGAAATTCGTTTTAAAGAAAGGCTTTGTACAAAACAAAACGCAATAAGTGGTCATAATCATGTCTGACTGACCCAACGTGTTTCCTGTCAGTTGCTGCAAAGATAAAGATTGCATTGACGATGCAAACTAGCATCTTCGCGGTAGTGAACGCAAATAAAGAGTAATGCACACTTCATATGAATTAGCCTAAACATAAGCAGAGAGCAGCCAATTTCTTTTAGATTGTTTGTTTTGTTTAAAAGTAGACATTTCAAGCTTACTATATATATACACTTTTCAGATCTTGTTTCTTATATGCGAGATTCAGTTCATGTATGAGTCGCGCTCCAGTCACGCGCCGGCGCGTGTCCTGATCACTATATTTGCTTTTTATTAATTAATCCAGGCAATTCGTTGATGAAAAAAAAAATTAAAATGAAGATGCAATTTATTCAAAACGAAATTCGTTTTAAAGAAAGGATTTCTACAAAACAAAACGTAATAAGTGGTCATAATCATGTCTGACTGACCCATTCCAAATGTTTTCCGATATTGCGCATTTTATGATCTTATCTTATTCATCTCATGAAGTTCCCTTTTCATAAAATCAACATACATAGACAAACATCATATTATTAAAAAAAATATGAAAGGAATACGTTTTTTTTTTTTTTTTTCAAACCTAGCTTATATTTAAGCGTTACACGTCCGGCCCGCTGTAGACTACATGCATGTGTGCGTGCATGTGGTGGTGGGGCACAATTTTCAAATAATAATCGAATAATACCAGGCAATCTTTAAATATTATTTTTGCTTGAAATGCCCATCCCTGCCAAACTGCAGAAGTCGTGTTCTTCTTCCAGACCAAGTCACTCGGTGCGCAATCTTTGCCTTCTCTCCCCCACTCTCTCCTCACCACACTGTCACGTCATGAGAACCAGATATAAGCATTTTATCCATTAAATAAATTGTATTTAAAACATTGCACTTATATAGATTCCTTGTCTCCTATTTAAGTGCATTGTTTGTTTTTTTCTGCCGGTATGACGATATTGAAACTGATACCGTTGCTATTTTTATATCCCGCGGTATACGATATTACCGTAATACCGCCCAAGCCTAAATACCATAATATGTTTGCATGTATTGAGGAAACATTTAGACCTTTTGCTACGTTTGCACCTCCCGTCCAGACTAAAACAGAAAAAAACGAAGACCTAAAACGGAGAAGTTTAGAAACGCTGCAGCTCCGTTTCGCGTTTTGAATCTCCGGAGGGCATTTTAGTGAAGACGGGACAAAACGTAGGACTTTAAAAACGGTGACGCAGAGGCTCACGCTCGGCTCTATGATTGGGTGTCATCAGTCATGACGTGTCCTTCCCTGATTCGTCAACCACTGTTTACACCGGCACACGCATGCCCAGTGTTAGAGAATGGTCATGTGATCCGCGTTTTCAGTCGTTTTAATAGAGTGCTGAAGTTACGACGTCACTCTGTAGGCTAAAACGCGGAAGTGAGTTAGCATTTTAGCAATACGGTTCCCTCGTTCTAAAGTCTATGGGATTTTTGAATGGGTTTTTGCTAAATCGCCTGAAATAAGGTCTTTGGTGAACAAAGCCTCTAGATATTTTCACGTTTTGATCTATGACATAGAAGACACATTTAGAACATGCTTGTGGTTTTTTAAACTTTATTGTGTCTGATTGTGTTTTTTAAAATCTTTATATACAGTAGGCTTCAAAATGTATACATTTTGGATTACCTTGTAAAGATTCTCTTGCTAGACAAAACGTGTAAGGGTCACAACCCTTTGTTAACCCTTATGCTGCATTAGGGACATTTTTGGTCTTTTGCAGTTTAATTTCTTTGACCATTTTGGCTGTTTTAATGCAAATGGTATGAAATTTGGCAAAATTGTGACTTTTTGGATACATGTAAAAAATGTGATCCCATTTTGCTAAATATGTATAACACACACTGTGTAGATCAAATAGTAACACTCAGCACCATAAAGACCAAAAATAGCCCATTGAAACCCATTAAAACGTTGTTTAAATCTGAGGCTGTCAGTAATACATGAAACATGATTTTTGCACAAACATCCTTTCATTTTGAAGCAAAAGCATTATATTTGCATTATATAGTGTATTCCACCAGATGACGTCACTACATATTTATTCCCTATGGGTGGAAATGCACCTTATTTTAGGCAATAGGCAATGTTTAATAGGTGGCCATTTTTGGTCTCTAACGCGCTAAGTGGGATTTTTTGCAAAGTGGGACTGTGATAATCCAAATCTAAAGTTTTCTCTTTGCATTTAGTTTATTGAAAATAATTGAATTTTTGTGTTTTTTCCTCTTATACAAATCGATGGTTTCGCAAACAAAACTGGTAATAAAAGGGTTAAAATCCTGAAATTGAATACATTTTTGGTAGTTATGATGAGGACTGATGCTGGTTAAAAGATTTAACTTGGTAAAAGTGGAAAATAATAATAATATATAATATTTTAGGCAATGTTTAATATGTGGCCATTTTTGGTCCTTAATGCACTCAACGGTGTTAAAAATCTAATGCAGCACAAGGGTTAAACAAAGATCTTATTTTTTGCGATTTTCCAAAAGTCTATGGAGAAAATGCATTGCTTTTCGACCGAGGGAACCCATGCGTCGCTAACTTCCGGGTTGTCCTACAAAGTGACGTCATCACTTCGGCACTCTATCAATTCTAATACGCAGATAAAACTGGCGACCACATGTGAGTGTCGAGTCCGAGGAGGCGGGGCGGGAGAAACCACAATCTCATATATTTTGAATTGGACTGCAGTGCCTATAATAAAATTTATCATAAAATGTATCTTTTAAATTGACAAACATCATATGTGTAATTCAGGGCACAAATCAAACAAGATCAAAATATTTGTTGTCTCTCGCCATTGACTAGCAATATTTTTACAATATCTTTCCAAAATAAGGTCCCATGGTGGTCGACCGGAAGGGGGGGGACTTAGGCTCTCTATCACACACACTAACTGTGTTAGAGCCAATCAGAGCGCAGCAGGAGTCTGACGTCAGCCGAGGATCAACTAAAGCAGATATTTTACAGTTTGTGTATTTACAGTGTACATAAGCCAAGAAATGAAGTTGCAAGTTTAAGTTTAATTAATTTATAAAGCACATTTAAAACAGCCACAAGACTGACCAAAGTGCTGTACAGGACAACTAAATACAGATCTGAAATATATACACTTTAATACACACAAATATAATATACACATTTAAAAAATAATATTAATAATAATAATAAAATCAATGTGCCAGAGAAAACAAATACGTTTTTAAAAGAGACTTAAAAATGGTCTAAACGGGGAGTAATGAACGCATGAACAGCCGTCTCCAGTGTTTCGTCAGATAGGAAGTGTTTCATTTTAGCTGATAGTTGATATGGGTTAGGGTTCAGTTTAGGGGTTATTACACAGTCATTACCCAGTTATTGTCATTGCTATATTAAGACACTCACTGATGATGGCTTAGGCCGAAACGCGTCTGTGTGGACATGGTGAATGAATAAATCTTCATGAGATTTAACTAGAGAGTGCGGTTCTTCTTCTTTACTTATAACTCGCACCCAAAAAACGTCTTGGCAGTTGAGCGCGCCTAGTTTGAGCATCATTGCTATATTAAGTACATAGTACATGTGGAACAGGGGTGTAAAATAATATTTGAGCACAAGCCACATGCGCTTTAACACAGTGTGTGTTTGTGTGTGTGTGAAAGGTTACTGTCCTCGACTGACGCTCTGATAGGCTGAAACACACACACATATTTATCAGTCTGTTCATCCAGTCTTCATCTGATCTGACTTCAGCTCTTATCACTCACACTCATGTCAGTCTCTAGGTTAGAGGCAGCAAATGTATGAAAGATCCATAGAACAACGAAGATTTTGAGACCTGACCAAGAGTCGAGGTATCCATGAGCAAGACACCCAACCCCAGCTAATCCCAACGAGCTGGATGGAGCCTTGCATGGCTGACACCGCCGTCGTGTGTAAGAATGAGTGAGTGAATGGGTGAATATGAGGCAAATGTAAAGCTTCTATTTCAAATAAATGCTGTTCTTATGAACTTTCTATTCAATAAAGAATCCTGAACAATAAAATGCATCACAGTTTCCATTATTTTAAACATTGATAATAATCATAAATGTTTATGAGCATCAAATCTTCATATTAGAGTGATTTGTGAAGGATCATGTGACACTGAAGACTGGAGTATTGATGCTGAAAATTCAGCTTTGATGACAGGAATAAATTACACTTTACTATATATTCACTTAGAAAACAGATGATTTACACTGGAATAATATTTTACTGTTTTTACAGTATTGTTGATCAAAAAGATGAGCAGAAGAAGAATAAAAACATAAAACTTGTGATAAGAAATCCATCAAACCTCAGAGAAATGAAGAATGGAGAAATGACCCGCTGATATTGTGTGACCTGAATATATTCTAATAACTAATCTGGGAAATTCAAGTGGAACTTTACAAACACAAGCAACCAGCTTTAATGATTGACAAATAATATAAGATTGCAAAACCACAACAGCACAAACAAACACTTTCATAATATATATATATATATATATATATTACTACAATTTTGATGAGCTCATTTTAACTGAGAGACTACATGGAATATTTGTACTTTTATTAAATCCCATCAAGCTGTTTAAATGGACTAAAAAGGCTTAAATGCAACGGTGCCGAGTTACAGCATCTGAACTGGACATTTAAAACTAGAAACTGGAAAAATAAAAACAGTGTTGATTAGATGCAGCTGTGAACCAACTGGGTAACCGTGTCATGTGATCAGTCATTAGTAAGACCCTCGGTGACATTGACAGAGCTCAAGCTCAAACATAAACCCATAAGAAACCTGTAATGTCCTGACTCGAGGCGCTAGAACGGGACACTCAGTAACAGATGTCCTGAAACATGTAGAGCTGCCTCAGTGCGCTCCGGTTTACACCAGCTCACGGTTAACACGTATAATAATGAGAAAAACTCTCATTTAAAAATCTCTTATTGACCAATAATTGTATGTTATATTGTAAATGTGAAACTATTTGTGCTGCCATTTTGGCCAGGACTCCTGGGAAGAAGAGATTTTTATCTCAATGGGACTATCTTGGTAAAATAAAGTACAAAAAAAAAAAGTCATGAAATTAATAATTACAAAAGTATATAGAAATTATATATATATGTATTTAAATAAGTAAATAAATGTATTTGCTAAGTAAATAAATAAAATCTATTTTTATTTATTTAAATAAAACTAATGACTTGACATTTAAAAAAAAAAGATTATTATTATTAATATTAATAAAAAATTGCTACTGATTACTTTTTTTAAAGTAATTTAAGCATATCAGTCATCACTTATCAATGAAAACATGACTTATTAAGAAAAGATAAATAAATTGATTATATACAGTATATATATATATATATATATATATATATATTAATTTATAATATTATTTTTTTTCAATAATGGTACTGATATGTCATTAAAATAGTTAAGGAAATAAATAATATATTATTTGTAGTTATTTAGATAATGTCACTGATTTGACAATTAAAAAAAATATGAATTATCATTATTATTTATTTATTTATTTAAATAATGTTATTAACCTGATATTTAAAAAAAATACATAAATACATATTTTTGTTTAGATAATACTATTGATTTGACATTTAAATAAATATATGAAAAATAATAACATAATTAATTAAAAATAATAATTATATATTTATTCCAATAATACTATTGATTTAAAAACAGGTATGAAATAAATAAATAAATCTGTGCTGTATTTATTTAAAGGTGCCATAGAATGTTTTTTTTTTAAATTATTGCCCTTATAATGTTAGTATGTTTTCTAGATCAAAAATAGTCATAATTTAGTAATAAAAGGCATTTTTCCTAGCCTGATTTTAGCCTCTACTTTGAACACTCTGTTTGAAGGGGCGTGTCTGCTGTGTGTCCGGCCTCTGCTGTGATTGGCTGACATGCTTGCATATGAAATAGCTATGTATTACATGTGAAACTCTCTCAAATAATTTCACTACAGCTATTATAGGTTTTTACTATTACAGCTATCGAGATTAACGAATCGTGAAAAGTTTTTAAAGTATTTAGATCTATTCCCATCACATAAAATGTTGCTGTGATGAGCATTGGGCAGCAGAGGAAAGTCTGTCGATCGCGAGAATGAAGATCTTATCATTGCAACGCAGTTTCTGCTCTCTCTAATGCTTTCACCAATGCAGACACGATCATGTAAATACAGTAAGAGCTTTGTTGTGCAGTGTAACCTGCGACATTAAATTCATAACGAGTTTGGCAAGTGTCGGCAAAATCGTTCTTTAATCGCTTTCTGTATATAATTTATTCAGAATTTAAATACGTTTTTTTTTTCATCCTACTAAAAGAAATGATGTAAAGTTCATATTTTAGTCACTGGCTTGACTTACTGATGCATAAACAGTATTGAACGATCTTGAGTGAAAGATTAACGTTACCTGTCTGAACTTGAACAACACATCAGCTCGATCCGAGGCCAGCTCTTGGCCCAAGTTGAGGAAACAGTCGTCGGTGAAATGTTTGGAAATATCCAGAGAAAATAAAATTAACCCATTGTTTCTTCAGAGGCTCGGATGAAGGAACTAAAAAATACTTTTGTACTCATGTGTACATCCGATCAAATGCCATGCTTCGACTGCACAGTTCCACCTGTCATTGAACATGGGCTGGCATATGCAAATGTTTGGAGTCGTACATATTAACATATTTACATACAGTTGCGTCACAGTCGGTATTATGTGGAGATTCGCCTGTTTTTCAAGTGTTTTTCAAAAACGAGAAAAATGGTGTTTGAGACTCAACTGTATGTCATGTCCATGTACTGAACTCTTTTTATTTAACTATGCCAACATAAATTCAATTTCACATTCTAGGGCACCTTTAAATAATTCTACCACTTTGGGCAAAATAAATAAATGCTATTTATTCAATAATGCTACTTATTCTGCATAAAAAAAGTGTATTTGTTTAAATAAAGCTACTGCTTTGGCATAAAATATTTAGTTTAGGTTTACATCCGTTGGGTTCACAAAGTGACATCATCAAAGTGTGACATCACTGACTTCCATCAGTCAGCAGATGAGCTCATGTTTGAGAACTCGTGTGTGTGTGTGTGTGTCTTGTCCCCTCACTCACCCCATAGTACAGGTTCTTGGCCAGCGTGTGTATCAGCAGGATCTTGCCGGCGGCGACGGATCCGTACAGACAGACAGCGGCGTAGAAGTGTGTGTACCAGAACATGGAGCGACCCGTCAGTGTGACGAGCAGAGCCACGATCAGAACCGACAGAAGAGCCACGAACCAACCCAGGACCGCCACACACACCGCACACACCAGATCACGCGTGTATCGCCCGCCTGTGGGAGAAAACACACACCAGATCACACACACAGCACACTTCAGCCCAGGAGCGTCACACACACCGCACACACCAGATCACGTGTGTACCGCCTGCCTGTGGGAGAACACACACATTAGATCACACACCGCACACTTCAGCCCAGGAGCGCCGCACACGCCAGATCAGGCGTGTATCGCCCGCCTGTGGGAGAATACACACATTAGATCACACACACCAGATCAAGTGTGTATCGCCCGCCTGTGGGAGAATACACACATCAGATCACACACGCCGCACACTTCAGCCCAGGAGCGTATCACCCGCCTGTGGGAGAACACACACAAGATCACACACACCAGATCACACGTGTACCGCCTGCCTGTGGGAGAACACACACATCAGATCACACACACCACAGGCCACATTTATAAACGTTGCGTACGCACAAAAGAAGGCGTATGCCGCTATCTACGCAATAGTTGGTATTTATAAAAAGCAAACTTGACGGTAAAATGTGCGGTCCTTCACGCAAGCTCTGACCCAGGCGTACGCACAAAAACGGGTGAAATGAGAAATGGCGACACCGTCGGCAGTTGGAAAAAACGCGTGAACGTGTGTGAAACTGTAGACGGTTGTGTAAAATAAATGGCAATACTGCCTCTCATAAATAACACGAAGACTTCACAAAGCAAGTCTTACAATTAACAGCCTACACGAACACCCGTTTGATCGATCTGCAACAGAAATGCAAATTAACACATATTTCCAAAAAGAAAGTGAAATATGTTCTGCAATAATATTGGCATATACAATTCATCCTAAATAAGATGGTAAATAGAACGAAATAATGTCCAAAACTGATATTTTCGCCAATGTGTCCGTCTAACGGAGCAGATATAGCAATTAGATAGTCAGTCAGATAGATAGATAGATAATTAGGGAGATATACTGTAGGCCTATAGATAGATCTATAAATAGATAGATGTATTATTTGTCCACTGGGGAAAGTGGTTTTCATAGTAAAAATGTCTTCATAATCTACGGAATCATGGTAGCCTATTCATGCATATGCCTTTAGTTTGTTTTATTTTGATAAAATAAGGTAAGACGTATGCCTCAACCATTCAGAAAGTTGCAAGAAATTACATTTGCGCTGAACTATTTCCCATTTCCAAGTAGATTATAACCGACATCCGTAGCTTGTCAGATGCAGAATTAAATGGATGGAAATAAAATGCCTCACCACAATGCGTAATGACGCACAATAGCAGATATTGCACATTGCAGAAGATGTGGCGATTAAATGGAATAATTCGGAGTGAACGCGTCATCTTCACAACAAAAAGTATGGAAAAAATATATTATTTATTCAAGAATTCCCTCATTGTGCAGTTTATTTCAGTTAGGACAGTCTTGATTTCACACAACTCCTTGGCCACCTCTCTAAATGAATTAATGACTAGACACTTTTTTGCCTCGACTTTGATGTCCGACCATTTCTTTTTTATTTCGGCCAGTCTGAGGTTGTGAGGCTACAGCATTTACGGCGTCTGCAACCTTTTGCCACTCAAGTGCCTTTTTGGCATTAGTTATGCCCACACTGTGCCCTCCAAACAACATTTTCTCCTCTTTTCCACCTCGCCAACGATAACTTCTACTTCACATTGAGTGAAGTTACGTTTTTTTTAAATTCCTCTCTGTTTTTAACATGATTTCGCAATTGATGAATATTAACTTGTGGGCGTTTCACGGACTATTTATGGGCAACTATGGGCGTGACATGAAGCTGCAAAAGCTACGCTATATTTAGAATTAATTTTGTGATTTATTAAGAGGAACAATTCGTACGATGTGCGTGCGCACGGTTTTATAAATCCGAATATTTCTGTGCGTACGCATGTCCTATGTTTCATCCGTACGCCACTTCTGACGCAAATCCTATGCAAAGTTTTATAAATGAGGCCCCAGATCACGTGTGTATCGCCCACCTGTGGGAGAACAAACACAAACACACATCAGATTACACACACCGCACGGTCAGCCTGTGGGAGAACACACACACACATCAGATTACACACACCGCACCACTCGCCTGTGGGAGAACACACACCCCAGATCAAAATTTTTATTTTATTAAAAAAGCCTATTAATACCATTTCTTCATTTTTCTGTGATATCATGAAATCAAACACAACTGGAGCCGGACCGATGTCTGGTCATGTGACCATCACGTACCCTCACTACTGGTCATCATGCACTTCCTGCCCAGGTAGATCACCGTGGCGACGGCCGCCATGAGGTTGATGATGGTGCCGACGCGCGCGGGATACGCCACCACCGTCAATCCCAGCAGGTCGAAGAACACCATGTTACCGTGGCGATACTTAGAGGAATCCGCCAGCTCGTCCGACATCACCAGGTGCTGGAGCACCGCCAGGATGTTGTCGCCTTGGTGACAGAGACAAACAGGAAGTGTATTATTTTCAAAGCAACTGATGCAAATACGTGATCTGTCAGTCTGTCTATATAAAACATTTACATTTAAATCTATTTAAATTTAAATAATTAAATCTTTACATTTCGTTAAATATCAGAGCGACCTGTTCCGAATCGCTCTGGGGTGTGTTTCCAGAAAGCATTGTTAGCTAACAATGAGTTCTGTCGTTATCAGCAGTTCAACGAGTGTGTGTTTCCCGAAACCATCGTTCCAACGAGCATTCGCAAACAGCATCGCACACTTGTTTGTTTGAGCGACGGTTAGAAGCAGTTTCATGTCTGCATGACGTGACTCAATCCTGATCTTGAGCAAAACAAGCAATCTGATTGGCAACCTGTATGTCGAGGGAATTAAAGTGTAGTTGTTGAACACTGCGCATGTGTGAACGAGCTCTAGTATGTGTGAATGAGCTCTAGTGTGTGTGAACAAACTCTAGTGTGTATGAACGAGCTCTAGTTTGTGTGAACGAGCTCTAGTGTGTATGAACGAGCTCTAGTGTGTATGAACGAGCTCTAGTGTGTATGAATGAGCTCTAGTGTGTATGAACGAGCTCTAGTGTGTATGAACGAGCTCTAGTGTGTATGAACGAGCTCTAGTGTGTATGAACGAGCTCTAGTGTGTATGAACGAGCTCTAGTGTGTATGAACGAGCTCTAGTGTGTATGAACGAGCTCTAGTGTGTATGAACGAGCTCTAGTGTGTATGAACGAGCTCTAGTGTGTATGAACGAGCTCTAGTGTGTATGAACGAGCTCTAGTGTGTATGAACGAGCTCTAGTGTGTATGAATGAGCTCTAGTGTGTATGAACGAGCTCTAGTGTGTATGAACGAGCTCTAGTGTGTATGAATGAGCTCTAGTGTGTATGAATGAGCTCTAGTGTGTATGAACGAGCTCTAGTGTGTATGAACAAGCTCTAGTGTGTGTGAACGAGCTCTAGTGTGTATGAACGAGCTCTAGTGTGTGTGAACGAGCTCTAGTGTGTATGAACGAGCTCTAGTTTGTGTGAACGAGCTCTAGTGTGTATGAACGAGCTCTAGTGTGTATGAACGAGCTTTAGTGTGTGTGAATGAGCTCTGGTGTGTGTGAACAAACTCTAGTGTGTATGAACGAGCTCTAGTTTGTGTGAAGGAGCTCTAGTGTGTATGAACGAGCTCTGGTGTGTGTGAACAAACTCTAGTGTGTATGAACGAGCTCTAGTTTGTGTGAACGAGCTCTAGTGTGTGTGAATGAGCTCTAGTGTGTATGAACGAGCTCTGGTGTGTGTGAACAAACTCTAGTGTGTATGAACGAGCTCTAGTTTGTGTGAACGAGCTCTAGTGTGTATGAACGAGCTCTAGTGTGTATGAACGAGCTCTAGTGTGTATGAACGAGCTCTAGTTTGTGTGAACGAGCTCTAGTGTGTATGAACGAGCTCTAGTGTGTATGAACGAGCTCTAGTGTGTGTGAACGAGCTCTAGTGTGTGTGAACGAGCTCTAGTTTGTGTGAACGAGCTCTAGTGTGTATGAACGAGCTCTAGTGTGTGTGAACGAGCTCTAGTGTGTATGAACGAGCTCTAGTGTGTGTGAACGAGCTCTAGTGTGTATGAACGAGCTCTAGTGTGTGTGAACGAGCTCTAGTGTGTGTGAACGAGCTCTAGTGTGTGTGAACGAGCTCTAGTGTGTATGAACGAGCTCTAGTGTGTGTGAACGAGCTCTAGTGTGTATGAACGAGCTCTAGTGTGTATGAACGAGCTCTAGTGTGTATGAACGAGCTCTAGTTGTGTGAACGAGCTCTAGTGTGTATGAACGAGCTCTAGTGTGTATGAACGAGCTCTAGTGTGTATGAACGAGCTCTAGTGTGTGTGAACGAGCTCTAGTGTGTATGAACGAGCTCTAGTGTGTATGAACGAGCTCTAGTGTGTGTGAACGAGCTCTAGTGTGTATGAACGAGCTCTAGTGTGTGTGAACGAGCTCTAGTTTGTGTGAACGAGCTCTAGTGTGTATGAACGAGCTCTAGTGTGTATGAACGAGCTCTAGTTTGTGTGAACGAGCTCTAGTGTGTATGAACGAACTCTAGTGTGTATGAACGAGCTCTAGTGTGTGTGAACGAGCTCTAGCGTGTATGAACGAGCTCTAGTGTGTGTGAACGAGCTCTAGTGTGTATGAACGAGCTCTAGTGTGTATGAACGAGCTCTAGTGTGTATGAACGAGCTCTAGTGTGTATGAATGAGCTCTAGCGTGTGTGAACGAGCTCTAGTTGTGGAACGAGCTCTAGTGTGTATGAACGAGCTCTAGTGTGTATGAACGAGCTCTAGTGTGTATGAACGAGCTCTAGTGTGTATGAACGAGCTCTAGTGTGTATGAACGAGCTCTAGTGTGTGTGAACGAGCTCTAGTGTGTATGAACGAGCTCTAGTGTGTATGAACGAGCTCTAGTGTGTATGAACGAGCTCTAGTGTGTATGAACGAGCTCTAGTGTGTATGAACGAGCTCTAGTGTGTATGAACGAGCTCTAGTGTGTGTGAACGAGCTCTAGTGTGTATGAACGAGCTCTAGTGTGTATGAACGAGCTCTAGTGTGTATGAACGAGCTCTAGTGTGTATGAACGAGCTCTAGTGTGTGTGAACGAGCTCTAGTGTGTATGAACGAGCTCTAGTGTGTATGAACGAGCTCTAGTGTGTATGAACGAGCTCTAGTGTGTATGAACGAGCTCTAGTGTGTATGAACGAGCTCTAGTGTGTATGAACGAGCTCTAGTGTGTATGAACGAGCTCTAGTGTGTGTGAACGAGCTCTAGTGTGTATGAACGAGCTCTAGTGTGTATGAACGAGCTCTAGTGTGTATGAACGAGCTCTAGCGTGTGTGAACGAGCTCTAAGTGTGTATGAACGAGCTCTAGTGTGTATGAACGAGCTCTAGTGTGTATGAACGAGCTCTAGTGTGTATGAACGAGCTCTAGTGTGTATGAACGAGCTCTAGTGTGTATGAACGAGCTCTAGTGTGTGTGAACGAGCTCTAGTTTGTGTGAACGAGCTCTAGTGTGTATGAACGAGCTCTAGTGTGTATGAACGAGCTCTAGTGTGTATGAACGAGCTCTAGTGTGTGTGAACGAGCTCTAGTGTGTATGAACGAGCTCTAGTGTGTATGAACGAGCTCTAGTGTGTGTGAACGAGCTCTAGTGTGTGTGAACGAGCTCTAGTTTGTGTGAACGAGCTCTAGTGTGTATGAACGAGCTCTAGTGTGTATGAACGAGCTCTAGTGTGTGTGAACGAGCTCTAGTGCAGGGGTGCCCAATCCTGCTCCTGGCGATCGACTGTCCTGCACAGTTCATCTCCAACCCTAATCAAACACACCTGAATGTGATCCTAAAGACCTTAATTGGCTACTTCAGTTGTGTTTGATTAGGTTTGAGATGAACTGTGCAGGACAGTCGATCGCCAGGAGCAGGATTGGGCACCCTGCTCTAGTGTGTGTGAACGAGCTCTAGTGTGTATGAACGAGCTCTAGTGTGTATGAACGAGCTCTAGTGTGTATGAACGAGCTCTAGTGTGTGTGAACGAGCTCTAGTGTGTATGAACGAGCTCTAGTGTGTGTGAACGAGCTCTAGTGTGTATGAACGAGCTCTAGTGTGTATGAACGAGCTCTAGTGTGTGTGAACGAGCTCTAGTGTGTATGAACGAGCTCTAGTGTGTGTGAACGAGCTCTAGTGTGTATGAACGAGCTCTAGTGTGTATGAACGAGCTCTAGTGTGTATGAATGAGCTCTAGTGTGTGTGAACGAGCTCTAGTGTGTATGAACGAGCTCTAGTGTGTATGAACGAGCTCTAGTTGTGTGAACGAGCTCTAGTGTGTATGAACGAGCTCTAGTGTGTATGAACGAGCTCTAGTGTGTGTGAACGAGCTCTAGTGTGTGTGAACGAGCTCTAGTGTGTATGAACGAGCTCTAGTGTGTATGAACGAGCTCTAGTGTGTATGAACGAGCTCTAGTGTGTGTGAACGAGCTCTAGTGTGTATGAACGAGCTCTAGTGTGTATGAACGAGCTCTAGTGTGTGTGAACGAGCTCTAGTGTGTATGAACGAGCTCTAGTGTGTATGAACGAGCTCTAGTGTGTATGAACGAGCTCTAGTGTGTATGAACGAGCTCTAGTGTGTGTGAACGAGCTCTAGTGTGTATGAACGAGCTCTAGTGTGTATGAACGAGCTCTAGTGTGTGTGAACGAGCTCTAGTGTGTATGAACGAGCTCTAGTGTGTATGAACGAGCTCTAGTGTGTATGAACGAGCTCTAGTGTGTATGAACGAGCTCTAGTGTGTATGAACGAGCTCTAGTGTGTATGAACGAGCTCTAGTGTGTGTGAACGAGCTCTAGTGTGTATGAACGAGCTCTAGTGTGTATGAACGAGCTCTAGTGTGTGTGAACGAGCTCTAGTGTGTATGAACAAGCTCTAGTGTGTATGAACGAGCTCTAGTTTGTGTGAACGAGCTCTAGTGTGTATGAACGAGCTCTAGTGTGTATGAACGAGCTCTAGTGTGTATGAACGAGCTCTAGTGTGTATGAACGAGCTCTAGTTGTGTGTGAACGAGCTCTAGTGTGTATGAACGAGCTCTAGTGTGTATGAACGAGCTCTAGTGTGTATGAACGAGCTCTAGTGTGTGTGAACGAGCTCTAGTGTGTATGAACGAGCTCTAGTGTGTATGAACGAGCTCTAGTGTGTATGAACGAGCTCTAGTGTGTATGAACGAGCTCTAGTGTGTATGAACGAGCTCTAGTGTGTGTGAACGAGCTCTAGTGTGTATGAACGAGCTCTAGTGTGTGTGAACGAGCTCTAGTGTGTATGAACGAGCTCTAGTGTGTGTGAACGAGCTCTAGTGTGTATGAACGAGCTTTAGTGTGTATTGTGAATGAGCTCTGTGTGTGTGAACGAGCTCTAGTGTGTATGAACGAGCTCTAGTGTGTGTGAACGAGCTCTAGTGTGTAT